CCCATACTACCGCTTTTTAGTCTCAGAATAATCATTTTTTTTAGCCCACGATGAGCCGACAACTTGGATCCCTACACCGCTCAAATTCCCACCCAGCCAACCTCCAAACTCCAATCCCAATAATCCCATTTTTTGCTTTCCCACCACCCGATTTTCCAATTATTAATATATCATCAAGCACGAATTCGGATACTAACTCAGATATTTCAGTTTTATAATCTATCTCACAAATTAATAACCCTAATGTAGAAACCCCTGACGAATTTGCAGACTCCGAACCATCTCCATCCAATAATTTTCAGACCAACTCCTCAGTTTTTTCAAAACCCCCTTTTCAACCAATCCCATCAAATAATTCACTCCCATCCGTTTCCACTCCTTCTTATGCTTCGCAAGTGACCCCAACCTACTCTCCACTTCATTCCGACCAATCATATAATAATTCTCCAGATACCCCCCAACCTTCCCAGGAACTCGATAATTTTATTACCCTACAACAACAGTTAATACACCCTATCACCCTCACTATACATCAACTTTCATCCACGATAGAATCGTCAAACCCACCTACTCCTACACCCTCCTCAGCTTACACTGCATCATTAGCACAATCATCCACATCCACCGAAACACCTAGTAGCACTAACCTAGCTTATCGCACTTTTAAAAGAAAATTCCCGAATCAACCATTCCCGACCAAACCAGGAACAGCCTGCGAATATATTAATCACCCACAACACACCAACACGAAAGATTTTCTAGCAATCACCTTGCCCTCATTTCCACAATATACATTAAATACACCTAACGACACTAATGACACACGTAGTTTCGTAGATGAACATGTTTTAATGCCTACACTTCATTGGACAACTTATTATCATTTTACTAATCCCCTTTGCCTTCCACTAACTAATACTCATGACGACACAGAAAAGAATAAAAATATGTTATATAGACTCACCGCAACACTAACACCTAGACAATTCACTTATGTAGGATATAAAAAATTATTAAAAACATTCACTGCACCCCGAGCTAACGAATTTACAATAGAATATTACGACCATAATATCATCCGAACTGATCAAGACCAATTTCTAGATGAAGATCGCTTCGCTAACCCACAACTAACAGAAAAATTTTTCATCAAAACGTCATATGTATTCACACTTAATATTTTTGATAGAAAATATAATCACATCATTTCTGAAGCACTAAATGATATTCAAGCTTACGAAAGTTTCAAAGACAAATTTCAGTTATTTTCACTAACCTTTCACTTCCTTGCACCACATGAACGCGATTTGCACTGTTCCCACGATATTAAGTTACGCACTAAACAGACTCACACATATACATACTATCGCTTCATACAAAATCATTTTGATTTGCATACTCCATCAAGACAACCACACCATCGTTTTCAGTTTCTCAACTCGAAATACACATCACCATTTTTCCCTAATTTCACTTATTGCATCAAGGATACTAACCTCCACGGCATCCTCCGCAATTATGATCCGATTACACAAATGTATATATTTTGTCCCATCACGAAGACCTTGAACGCCGAAGAATCCAGACCCTTCCTTATCCCGCATGAATTTATCCAGCCAATAGAAATACCAATATTAGAATTCATTCACAATACTACATATATTCACAAAATATTTAACCTCATTCAAAACACACCTTACGAGTTTGCAGTAGGCACCGAAGAACTAAAAACCATTAAAGCACTTCAATTGCTTTGGCCACTGCTCCAAACTAAAAACATCATTCGCATACTAGCCAAATTACTAACAACATCAGATACGATACACGACATCTTCCCCCAAGGCTTTTTCCCAGACGATTAACAGGTAAGTATAATTTAAAATACACTTCACTAATAAATTTAAATTGGTACTAACCATTCTTTATTCATGTTTCATTTACATTTCTAGTCTTCATACCACGATAACCTACAAAAACAGAAAAGAAAAATAAAAATACGAACTTGTTAAAATTCTTTTAAAATTCATTAATATCTTGCACAAAATAATGTAATAAAATTAATACCAAATGTAGTAAATTAATTTATAAATTATTTTCCCATGAAGCAGTAAAATTAAATACGATGAAAATTTATAACTTTAAAATTTCCCCCAAACGCAGTAAAATTGAAATTCTATGTAATAAATTGATAAAATGAAAATGCAGTACTAACCTTTTGAAATTTTCATTCAATCGCACAGGAATTCTGCATGACAGCATGACTAAGAAAAGAAAACCAACGGTACTCAAACCAGATTAACCCAGTTTAAAACTGGATAATTTATTCTTTTGAAGACTATTATAAAGTCTAAGAAAGAAATAATAAAAAACAAAAAAATCGCAAGACAAACCCATACCAAAAACAATTTGATTTTTGAAAAAAGGACACAGCCAAAGTAACATAAGAAAGACCAACATAAACCCAACATAAAACGTTATCACATAACAGGACCTCTCACAGAAACAGCACGAAATCATACACCCACTCCTGGCCTAACCCACCAGAGAGGACGTCCTGAGCATGCTCTATAGCCGGCCTAACCCACCGCGCTACATCCACGCTTTGTGACCACACTTCTATTTTTAATAAGAGGTGCTCAAGGGTGAGTAACTCTTCAAAATAACCGAACTAAAACAAAATGCTTTTGTGAAAACAACTAACTAAATTCATGATTAAAAAACCGAACTAACATAATTTTATAAAGTACAAATCATATCTTGCAATATATAGATCAACACACAACAACAAAGACGAACATCCAAAGACAAGATGATCCCATCACACTCGAACAAAGAATGGCTAATCACAACCGATATGCCGTCCACAATCACAACTCAAAGGATTTAGAGTACGACTTGACTTCGCCGAAAAGGACTTCATTGAACTAGACCAATGACCACCTCGATGTTCAAGTATACGTGCAGATCCGAGTTACGAGGCATCCCTTCCACACACGATCTCCACGCCATTCCCAGACGAGGTTGAACACAAAACAAGTTCTCTACATAATACAGAAAAAACCGTCATAGCAAATCATTTTGAAATCAGATTGATTTCATTGGGGATCACAGTCGTTGTCACAAGACGACGCAACGATTGTATGTCCCTACAGCGTCCTGGAACTTCTTTAACAAGAGGAACCGGACAAGAATATGATGTTCGCCAAATACCAACGTTCATCATCCATCCTTTGAATTGCAGAAAGATAATTCTAAAAAACTCTGTAAAACCCGGATGGGTGGAACCTGATCTAAACTACAATTTATAATTGGATAAATTGGATATTTTACTACTGTAAAATATTTAATATTAACCAATCATAATCCATCTAACTAACAACCCACTTATTTGTAAGTGCTGAAATTACTTGTGGTTTCAGCACCAGAGAGATTTGAATTTAACTTAGAAATTAGTTGCCTCTCCAAGAGAACTTCAGCAGCCGCAATAAACCAGTATACCCTAGATCTATTGAGCCTAGCAGAGACTAGTTAAACACCCTGAGACTAGAAAGTATAAGAGTAAGATTAGGATCGGTATTAGACTAAGAAGTTGGACGAATCTATCCGGCCGAAAATAAGATAGCGTGACGAGCAGACGGTGTACCCTATCCGAAATTACTCTATGAGTTAACCACATCGGTCCTAACTCACAAGGGTTTTTCATTTAGATATTGCTGAGATACAGGAGTTTCTCAGCTTGTCCTAATGTTCCGATCTTCTGCTATATGTGATATATCCCCGAAGAGGTCAGAAATGAGCCATGAGGAGAGGAATGTCGTTTGAAAATACTGGTAAAAGTAAATAATTTGGGCAACTAGTATGCTGAAAAATCTTACAATAGCTGAAAACATCTTAAGTTAATGGCAGTTACAAGTTATTTTCATGTAAAGATAAACGACGGAACCAACGATTAGATACTGCCCGTTTCGGTCTCGTTTTTGTCAAAAACTGAATACTTTATGATGTAGTTTAGTGAAACAGTCCACAACCATTCATGTACTTTGGTATTAGGTGTTGTTTTCTCCAAATAAAGGAAGGAAGATGTTCTCAAACGCGACCTGTTGGGTGTGATGGAAGAACAAATTGGTGTGGCGGGTGTGCATGTTATTATGCAAAGACTAATAAATTCGGAAATAAATGAAAAAGCTGTTATCATTGACAGGGTTGACAGAGACAGGAGTGGATCTAGAGTTTTCTCAAGCGGGGATTTCCAAAAAAATCGAAAATTCGGTTGACCTTCTATGACTTTGAACAAATTGACATCCCAGTCTTTCTTAAACCAGCAAAACAACCTTTGGTTGAGAAAGTGCCGTTTTTGGAAGCCTTTTGGAAGATATTGACTAGAGTCTTACTTTTTTTGGCGCGCGCTCGTCCTCTAAACTTGTATTTATTGGTGCCAAAAGCACCTTTTCAAATTTTTTTTACGACTGGTCAGCCCAAAATGGATGCCGAAAAACACGATGCCCCTGTTAACCCGCCCCTGAACTCAACAAAAGCCAGTAGTGAGTAAAATATGTGTTTTTCAAAGCCTTCTCGCGTTTATATATTTCATAAATCATGTGAGGTCAACTCCAGTGTTTCCAACAGAAGTGCGCTGACATTTAATGAGATTCTCGTGATCTGTTATTAAAGGTCGCATCCTTGCAATATCATTCCAATTTTCCAAGTTTTTGCTATCGGTGAAACTGGGCAATTTAAGGATAACTATCCGTCATTCCGAAAAACTGAATTGTGTTTTCATTCATCGGGTATCAGCCTTTATATCCGGTTTTCTTCTCAAAAACTGAATTTGCTCAAGTCTATTTGATAACTACCAAGATTGAGCCACTTGACACAAATTTAGTCGCATCTCTCTTTCTCAGATATTTTGTAGGAACACAGTCAGAAATTGATGACATTTATCTGTTTGTCTTTGCTTGATTTGATATTTTCTGTCGAAGTTCAAACAATCTGATTTGAAGGTCTCTCAAAAGACACATTTAATTGGTTGTTGGATAGCAAATTTCAAGTTCACACTTTCATCGCACCATTTGAACGTGCTGGTCAAATAGACTTGGCGTTAATTTTATCAATTGGAGGCCCATTATTTTGATTATTTTGTGCCTTAATAAATTGGCATTCGCTTCTTAGGTTATACTTTAAATTTTAAACACCTCCAACCCCCCAAAAAATTTGTTATATCTCCTTTGAGTATGTCGGGAAGCAGCGGTGACACTGAAGTAATGATTCCGAGTTCGAGCGATGAACAGCGAAGCGACAGGGCCAGTACAAACAAGTTGGACCACCCCCACCCGATGACGAAAGAGGGGGACCATTGCCACACAGACCTCAATGTGAGTCAGAGCGAGTCGAATGCAGCGAGGAACAAGCTGATGTTGGCTAGTTCTCTGGTGCTGGTGTTTATGGTGTGTGAGTTTGCGGGTGGTTTCTTGGCAAACAGTCTGGCAATCATGACAGACGCATTCCATCTGCTGTCTGACTTCGCTGGCTTCTGCATCAGTCTGTTCGCCATCTGGTTCGCCAGCCGACCTGCCACCAAAAACATGTCTTTTGGATATTACCGCGCAGAAGTTCTGGGTGCTGTGATCAGTGTGTTGTTGATTTGGGTCCTCACAGGCGTCCTTGTTTACATGGCCATTTTCAGAGTGATCAACAGAGACTACGAAATAGACGCAGACGTCATGCTGATAACAGCCGGTTGTGGGCTGGCTGTGAACATAGTGCTTGGAGTGGTTCTTTACCAGGCGGACATACCACATGACCACGGAGGATTTGGACATAGCAGTCATGGGCCCAGTCACAGCCACAGCCATAGTCTCAGTCATAAAAAACAACAGCAACATGACACCGAGTCCAAAGCTATCATGCGGCCAAACTCAAACTACCACGCGACGATTAATGACGACTCAAATATGAGCGCTGTCAACTCGCAAGACATCGAGCAAGAGCTGTCGGAGGGTCGCAACATCAACGTGCGCGCTGCTTTCATTCACTGTCTCGGTGATCTGGTCCAGAGCACAGGTGTGCTGATTGCAGCTGGAATAATAAAAGTGAAGCCTGAGTGGGTTCTGGCCGACCCCATCTGTACGTTCTTCTTCTCAATTCTGGTTCTGTTTACCACTCTGACCATCATGCGAGATGCAGTCCAGATTCTGATGGAGGGAAAACCTTCTGGATACGAGTACGACCAGATTTCGGACGAGCTTACGGCGATTGCAGGGGTGAGGACTGTTCACAATTTGCATGTATGGTCCCTGTCCATAGACAAGGTGGCAATTTCAGTCCACTTGACCATAGAGAGAGATGCAGACCAAGAGGAAGTGTTGAAACAATCCACCAAGAAACTCAAGTCCAACTTCCAGTTTTCACACACCACAGTGCAGGTGGAGCACTACCTGCCCCACTTGATGGATGATTGCAAACAGTGCAATGGGCCAGACAAATAGAAACACACACATGGACAAATACTCGAGTTATTGAGCAAAATTTGCCACGTTTTTTTCCACATTTGGTTTGCCCGATACTGATGTTCTGTAAATTATGCTATCCCATTTTAGCTCCAGAAGTCATCCACTTTTATTGCTATAGATTTTATTCGTAACGGCGGTAATTTTTCTTTTCACTCAACTTGTTTATAAACAAACATGCGTGTCCAGAGGTTCTCAGAGTAGCCGTTTCACCACTTACAAAGCAAACAATTGTCATTGGTACTGGTTTTAAGTAGCCGAGCATTTGAAAACCAAACGGACACGCCCATGTTCTTATCATTTTATGTAAATCTCACAGATTTTATTTGGATTACTTGAAATTAATTGCTTTGGATTGCTATTTTTCGAAAACCTTCAAGTTCAAAAACCTTTTTTTTTGCCCGGAAGAGACTAATTTGCTAAGGACAAAACACCCAAAATTAAAACGCTTATAGACAAGTTAAAATTGTTTGTGAGTTCCGTACCAATGGTAGTAAATTTAATTGGAAATTTTTTTCTCTAACCTTATTCTGGATGTGTTATGGGGATCACAGCCAAATTTTTCAAAAATTATTCGTCTTTTTTCTAAACAGTGATCTCTTTTAATGAAATAACTTAACAAAGCTTTTCAAAAAAAGAATCTAAGAACTGTCAAGATGGACATGGTTGCATTTATATGTAAAAACTGCTCGTATATCAGGGAAAAGCTCTGAAGATTGAATTTTAAAAAACCAACAGGCATATATATTCCTCAGACTCTACAAAAGTAGGAACAACAAAACTGCTCGTATCGGAGCGATACCTCGAATGGTCCAACTGACCTCTCGAATCTATGGAGCATCTTTCAACTTGAAAAAAGGAAGTTTTCAAAAAATATGGAAAAAATTAATTATTTTTCGAAAATCATCACTCTATGCGCTATCTAAAATTAAAAGTGATAAATTTAGCATGAAGTAAAGTAATCTTAGAATAAACAGCTAGCCAATTAAATTTGGAAGAAATTCTTAACCGGATTAAATTGCCGTTTACGCATTAAAAGTACAAATTATTTCGCTCGTTAATTGTCTCAAATTAGTCACTTTTTCTTAAATAGCATTGACAAGACAGCTGCCAAATAAATTTGGAAGAAATTCTTAACCGGATTAAATTGCCGTTTACGCGTTAAAAGCACAAATTATTTCGCTCGTTAATTGTCTCAAATTAGTCACTCTTTCTTAAAAAGCATTGACGAGGACGGGTGGATTTGGGGGGGGGGGGGGCATTGGGGGCGGACGTTTTTTTAGGGACTCCACCACCTGCCGACACGAAGCTTCCCTCTTTGTACTCATTTGAAAAATCCATTTTTGGTGACGGAAACTAACTTTTTTCTAAGTTTGAGGAGGGAGCGCGCTGAAAAAAACGATGTTTGGTCAAAATTTTCCAAAAACTGCCTAAAACGCCCTTTTCGTCCTGTTTTTCAAAAAATTTAAATATATAATAAGTTTGAGGAGGGAGCGCGCGCCAAAAAAAAACAATTCTTTGGTCAAAACTTTCCAAAAACTGCCTAAAAACGCCCTTTTTGGCCTGTTTTTTAAATTAAAAATTTGCCTGCGGCGCAGAAGTTTTGACCTAAACAGTGTCTTTGTAGTGCTTTGGTAGAGCTCGGATAATCCATTTGATAGACCTAAAAAAGTCGACAAAACGTTTGAAATTTGTTTGAAAATCCAACCTCCCTCGAGAAAATCCTAGATCCGCCCCCTGGACGAGGAAACTTTTTGAAATCTTGTTCTATATTATGAAAACCATCAGGCCAAAGTATCCAGTACGCAGCCATCACGCTAGTTGTATCAAGATGCAAACAAAAAGGGAATAGCGAACATCACAGTATTGTACATCAGTGAAATTGTCACATGAACCTTTGCAACAAATTATTTTTTATCGACTGAAATGGTCTTCATTTAAACAACTGCAAGTATAGAAAAAGCTTGATGCAACAAATTTTCTTGGTAAAAAAAGAACGAGGGAAGGAAAAGAACATAAAAAATGAATTTTTTCATCTGTTTTTCCGACTTTCAAAGATTGTGGAAGCAAAACTTGCTCTCCGTTAGTTTAATGACAAAACATCAACTCTTTGTTGTTCCAACTTTTGGTTTTTTAACCACTCATTGTTCCGACTTTCACACGAAACTAACGGAATATTTGCGCTCGGGGTGGGTTTTTTTTCTTCAGACAAATTTTGACTTTTTAACTAGCCATTTTTGACGGAATTTTTTTCATATCATTCAAAAAGTATTGTTGTCCTGAGCTTAAATTCGAAACGATTTTTCAACTGTGATCATTTTTCGTAAAGTTACGGGGGTTTAAAGATTGCCATTTTGGCTAATTTGGGACAATTAACGCGCGATGTATTTCGCGCTATTAACGCGTAAGCGGAGATTTAATTCCTCTTAGAAATCGTTCCAAATTGGTTGAAAGAAGCTTATTTGCCATTATTGATACGTTATTCTTTTGTAGTTTATATGGCGTGAGGTGGAATGATTTACATAAAAAATTTCAATTTTTAGAGAAAAAAAATTGTTCATTTTTTATTACATTTACTTTTCTAATATTATTATTGCTCCATAGACCTTAAAAAGCAGTCGAAACATTCAGGGCTTCGCCCTGATACGAGCAGTCTTGTTTTTCTTTACTTTCAACAAAGCGTTTATTACGCATACTTGGACAGACATTTTAACTAAGCGTTTAGGACAGACATTTCACCTTGCTACCATTTTTCGAAAAGTTATGGGGGTTAGGATTTTTTTTTCAATATTTATGTTTAACTTTTCGTCTCTGTCTACCTTATACGTTATAATAGCACGAATCTATTGCTTGTTAACTTAGACCCAATTGTCCATCTTTAATCCCCAAAAACTTACAAAAAATGATCACAGGTGAAATATCTTTTTCAATATGACCTCAGAACAACAAAACTTTGTGGATAATGTCAGAAAAAAATTTAATCAAAAATTGTTATTCAAAAAGTCAAATTTTCTCTGCAGACAAAATCACCAGAGGCACAAATAATCCGCCAAATTTTAAAAAGCCAAATTTTCTCTGGAGACAAAAACACCAGAGGCACAAATAATCGCAATAAACGAACAAAATTCTTCAACTTTTCGAATAAAGTAACGGAACATTTTGATGTTGTGAGCTTAACATTATGAAGCGTTTAACCAATAACCTTTTATGAAAATTGATCAAAATTGTGACATTTTTAAATTGCCGATCAGGACAATTTGGGTCAACAAATGATGCGCAAAAATTTCATTGTTTTCTTTTTGATATAATTAATTTGGCTGAAACTTCAGCCCTAATTCAAGTGAAACTCACTAATCGGTCTAAGTTTTGCGTCAAAACCTCAAAAAAGTCTACTGATTTTCAGGCATAGTTGACAATTGAACAATTCGACTAGAAGCTCTAAAAAGACTACTCGTATATCAGGGCGAAGCTCTGACTCTTCCGACTGCACTTATGGGTCAATTTAATTTTTTTTGCGGGAAAAATAACCAAGAAACTTTAATGTTTCATGTTTTTCTTAATTTTATACCCCACACTATGCAATGTACACATGACCGTGTTTAGCGTCTTGTATTCCATAAAACCAAGATCCTGCAAGACATGCCGCAACTCAATTCGAACAGATGTAATTACAAAAATGATCCCAGGTGATTTTTTTCCTTTTTTTGTGCTCCAGAAAACAATATATTTCAAATAGTGTAGAAAAATCCATTAAAAAAGCTGAGTGAGAAATTCGAAAATTGACCGAATAAAAAAGCCTCTCCAAGCATGAATACTCCGCCAATTTTATCGAATGTCGGAAAAATAACAGTTCGAACATACTACTGAGCTGAAATAGGTTTAATAAATTCTCCTTTACAGCATATTTGGAGAGTGCTCCTGTTGCATTTAATAACATTTAATCTAGCATCAGAGAGGGGTAATTAGGGCTATGATGAAAGTTTTTGATCAGAGGCTCAGTTGTCTTTTCCGTTCGCTGCTGAACAGTTTCTTCGTTGGTTTGTTTTTGTCGTCCCCGTGGAAACAGATGAAAAATAATCATTACGGCCTAATTGGAGTTCTTTTATATGTACTTCTACGTATTGCAGAATTGATCGTAGAAAACGGAATGGGCTTTCAGTACTTCCTTATAAATAGTTTATGGATGAATTAGGAAACAACCAGAAGGGGAGTGCTGACTTATTTTATTATTATATTGTACAGGTTTTACAGTACCATTTAATTTTATGGAGAAGACACCGGCATGTGAGCCTAATTGCTTTACGATCAGAAAAGGCATGGTATGATTGCGTTATAGTCATTATTCAATCTGTTTGCTTCTCATCAGCTCAACTGAAATCACAACATACCAACAGGTACTCACATACACATATTTTGCTTGAATAACGAAGGAGAAAGAGAGAGAGAGAGAGAGAGAGAGAGAAAGAGATGAAAGACATTTAGCTTATTAGCTCATCCATCTTCATGTCATTTTGTATTGAGCAGCCTTGGGAGCGGAGTTTTGAATGAAAGGAGCTAGCTGAGAGTGAGTAAAAGGCATTAGCAATAGTGCTTTTACAATAACTTATCCGGAGGACAATTAAGGAGGAGGGGATGAAGCGGTTCAGCCGCACCGTCCGTTTGTCTTCAACTCCTGCCCCTCCACTTGCTCTTCACACGCCATCACATCACATCACATCACATCACATCGCCGCTTCTGTCCTCATTATATTAGGTGCACGGGCACACTTGTTCCCCATTTCAGGTTGCTGTTCGGGAGGACCGCATCAGAAGAAAAGCGAGAGCCCTATTCCCTTCCCCTCTCTATAACAAGTCCCTCCCCTCTTCTACCCGCTGACCTCCACATCCTCAAGATAAAATTGAGCTTCTTATTTCTAAATCAATAACCTACACAGTAAATACCGCATAATGTAGCCTCCCCACTGCTTTTCTGTACAACATTTTTCCTTTCCATAATAAAAAATATCGCCAAAAGTTAGTCTAAAAACTGATATATGAGTGCATATGGTCACTTATTGAGATTTTCATTCGGTTATTTGAAGCAAGTCAAGACCAGCAAAGAGTCTCAGCTGAGCTGGAAGTAAATGACGGAAAGAGGAATTGATTCGGTGCACCTTTTGATGTCATTTTATTGAGTTTTTATTTCCACTCTTTCTTTCTTCTCTATCAGCAGCTATTTTATGCGCTAATTAGGGCCACCCATAGAAGGAAAACACCCTACCATGTCATAAGAAATGATAGATTCAAAACTAGAACGCTTCCATTTGCAAATTCTACGGTTATTTACCCAGGCAGTGTTTAATTTACTCAAGTTTTTTAAAT